GAGGAGGATGGAGGGCAGACGCTGGCCCCTCCGCCCACAGCTCGGCCACACTGCCCATCACCTTCAAGTGCCTGCTGGAGAACAACCACATTGACCGGCGCATCGCCCGCTTTGTGCTGCCCGTGGGCGCCACCATCAACATGGACGGCACTGCGCTCTATGAGGCGGTGGCTGCCATCTTCATCGCCCAGGTCAACAACTATGAGCTGGACTTCGGCCAGATCATCACCATCAGGTGCACTCCTGGTGCCCCCAGCCCGGGGGGATGGGGTGGGAGGGTGACTCCTGGGAGGGCCTGGAGGATGCTCAAGCTCCCTGATCTGATAGGGACTCTGAGGCTCAGAGAGGGTGAGGGGCTCCTTTTAGGCCATGTCAGCGCTGGGGTGGGACGTGACCTGATCCCTGAGACTGGTGGCACAGGCTCCCCCAACCACCCCCCTCCCCCCAACGCTGCCCTGCAGGGCGGGAGCTGAGACCCAGAAGAGGGCCTGCATTCTGGACACGCAGGGCAGAGAGGGGGCAGAGGCCCGGGCAGGACGCTGGAGGGGCTGTTGGTGCAACTGGAGCAGAGGGAAGGGTGCTGAGGTGAGGGCAGAGGCTGAGGGAAGGCCTCACACGCCAGCCTGAGGGCACAAGGCTGACCCTGGGCACCAGGCCCCCGAGGGAGGCTGGGCAGATCAGAATCTCTCAGCGGCTTCCTGAAAACCTTCCTGGCAACGACTCCAGGCACAGGGTTTCCCACAGATTCCTCAGGGGGTCCTGCTGAGGCCAGGTGTGGGGCCCATGGGGCTATAGGACCTCAAGCAGGAACGTGTCCCCCCAAGAACTCCTTGATGTGGCCTTCCTAACAACCCTGCCCCTTTTGGCTGGCCACAGAGGTGCTGGCATTCTGGCCTCCCCTTTGGAGGGTCCCAACGAGGCAGCCTGCCCCTCCTGCTTCTCTCTCCTCCTCTCCCCACCCTCTGCAGCATCACAGCCACCGCAGCCAGCATCGGGGCAGCCGGCATCCCCCAGGCCGGGCTCGTCACCATGGTCATCGTGCTCACCTCCGTGGGCCTGCCCACGGACGACATCACCCTCATCATTGCTGTTGACTGGGCTCTGTGAGTGGGGTGCACCCCTCCCGCCCTCACCCGGCAGGCAGCGGGCTTTGGGGTAGGCAGGGGGAAGTACCCTACTTTGGCACAGCTTCCTGGAAACCTACAGAGGCAATAGCTCTGGCCTGGCTGCATAATTTCTAGAGCCCAGTTTTCAAAAACGAAAATGTGGGGTCCCTTGTTTACAAATTATAAGGGATTTCAAGAGGGTGAGAGCAAACCGTGAAACCAAGCCTGGGCCCTTCTTAGCACAGGCCTGTGCGGCGTCCGGTCACCCACCATGAAGCCCGCTCTGCTTCAACCCGCCTCAACATCCCCGAGGGAGGGGTGGGCTTGAGAGGACTAGGAAAGCGCCTCGCCTCGCTGTGGGCTCTGCCCTGACAGCTGGTGCCCTCAGGGGCTGCTGGGCTGGGTGCTGCCCTCTCCCGGCCCCCCTTACGAGTGCCCACCGCTCGCCACCACCAGGGACCGCTTCCGCACCATGATTAACGTGCTGGGGGATGCGCTGGCCGCGGGGATCATGGCCCACGTCTGCCGGAAGGACTTCGCTCAGGACACGAACACTGAGGTGAGAGCAGTGCCTCCCCCAGCCTGGCCACCCAAAGGCCCTGGCAGGTGGAGCCCAGGTGGGATGGGCACCAATCTTCCACTCACCAGCCGGGGAGCCATCAGCCAATCCCTCCCGCCTCCCTGCCTCAGTTTCTCATCTGGTACTGGGGTGACTAACTCCTCTCACAGCTAGTTGTTGAGCACCCACCGCGGCTGGCCCTGCTCTAGACACAGGAACAAAGGATGCCAGAGCCCTGCCCGCAGGGAGCTATACCCTAGTGCGGGTGGTGCTGCCCACAGCAACGCGAATGTTTGCACATCCACATGGGCTTCATGGTCTTCGGGCTCCTTCAGTAGCCATGAGCAGCAGGCTCCCACTCTGCCAGGAGGATGCTGGGGCCCAGGCAGGGGCCCGGTTCCCTCGTGGACCCTGTGGGTCAGGTCCCCTCCTCTACCATGACAGCCGCAGGCGGTGGCAGGGCAGCCGAGAGAGGCCCCGTGACCTGCCGAGGCCCCACAGTACATCCGTAGGAAAACCTACCATGTGGTTCCCAGCCCTCGCTTGTTCGGTCCTCCCTGGTGTCTACCCTCAGCCCCTCCACCTGCTACCAAGGCCCGTCTCCCTCCTCAGAAACCGCTGCCCTGCGAGACCAAACCGGTGAGCCTGCAGGAGATCATGGCGACCCAGCAGAACGGCTGTGTGAAGAGCGTGGCGGAGGCCTCCGAGCTGACCCTGGGCCCCACCTGTCCCCACCATGTCCCCATCCAGGTGGAGCAGGAGGAGGAGCCGGCTGCCGCCAGCCTGGACCACTGCACCATAGAAATCAGCGAGCTCGAGACCAATGTCTGAGCCTGCAGAGCCGCAGGGGCCAGGGGCGGCCTCCAGGGTTGGAGCAAAGGGAAGGATTTCAACTTATTGCCTTCCTGAGCACACAGGGGCCAGCCTGACCTATTCTTCCCACCCGGAGAGCTCGGAATTAGCTCCATTGACCAAAAGTGGAGTCTCAGAGGGAAAGCCCAGCTGGGGAGTGGTGGGCCAGCGTAGCCAGCCCCGGCTGTGACTTCCCATCACGTTGACCTGTGAGGACAGCAGGCAGGGGTGAGGGTCCATCTCTTCTGGGTGACAGGGTTAAGGCTGAACACATTTATCCCAGGTCTCAGAGCAAGTCAGGGCTAGGACTCCAACACAAGTCTTTCAAGCCCTGGCCAGGCCCTCCTGGAGGCAGGGGCACCTGCAGGGCCAGATGCCAAGAGAGGCTCTAGGGGCCCTGCCCCATCTGAGAGCCCCGCAGCCACCACTGCTTTCAATTTCTGAAGACGTAACAACAGTGCCCAGGGTCTACCCCTGTGGCCCAGCCCAACCAGCCCTCCCGCCGCCCCATAACATGTGGCCTCAAACAGCCCTCCCCAAAGGGGACCCCGCCCAGGACCAAGGCCTGCTGTCTTCCATGTGCCACGGCCCGTCTCCTCTCACGTCACAGCAGGATCTCTCGCAAAGGTCATCTGAGGTGGAGATGGGACCCTCGGAGACGTCCGGGCCAACCTCCCACTGACGGGGACCAGCCGGGACCCAGGAACGGGCTCACCTGGGATCCTCTGCCCAAGCTGCCCAAGTGGCTCTGGGGTCAGGACTCCCCAGCAGCCTGTGGGATGAAGTGGAGTTAGATTTTATACTCTCTTCTGTGTTTGCAAACTCAGAGATGACTCCATAAAGGTATTTTGTTTTCCAAGTTCTGAGGGCTTAGCAGCCATACTCTGGCCAGCATGTCTTCACGGAGCTAACACAGGCTGTCACCGTGCAGACTGCCCGTCTGGGCAGCCAGAGCGTGGACAGGCCTGTCCAGGTGGCCAGACAATAAACAGGCTTGTCCTTGTGGCTAGAATGCAGACAGGCCTGTCCGGGCTGTCGGGCTGTGGACGGGCCTGCCCGCGAGGCCAGGGCGCAGATGGGCCCGCCCGGCCGGCCGCAGTGAGGACAGCCTGTCGGAGCTGTCACATGCAGGAGGCAGAGTGCAGACTGGCCTGCGGGGGGAGGGGAAGGGGGGGGCCTGTCTCCACAGCCAGCGTGGACAGATCGCTCTGTCCCTAGCCGGGGCTTTGCAGGCAAGGCCCTGCGACCAGTCCCCACAAAAAGAACAATTTCTTCAGCCAGTTGGGCTCCCTTTGGCAAGTGCTTTGCTTTAAGGAAGGGACATGCCCAAGGACAGTTCCAGACTGTGTCCTTTATTCTCCTCAGCCCCAGGGGGCCTCCAGGAGGCCCAGGGGGGCGATTGGGGGGGCAGAGATGAACCCTGGCCACACAGCCTGTACTGGATGTACTTTGGGGAGAAGATACAGCTCCGGGGGGTGGGGGAGGGGCTTGCACTGTGGAGCCATAAAGACATTGAAGCCAGGGGAGGAACAGGCCTCCCAAGGTCACTCAGAGAATCAAGAAGGCACCTGCCTCCCAGTCCCCAGTTCCTAAACTACTTCCCCTCCCCCTCCCAGGGCCACATGCCCACTATGGGACCATCCTTCCTTCATTAGGGATAAGCAGCTAGGAGAGGTCGGATGTCAAGCTCTGGTCACGCCCACCGTCAGAGCTTGGGCCCTTGATCTAAGGCCCTCTGAGCAGTGGAGTCTGCCCCAGCAGTGTGCTTACACACCCTAGCAGCGGGGTTACTGGTTCCTGGGCATCCATCCAGGGCAGCTCTTCTCTGTCAGAGCCTGTCAGACTCTTCTCTGCTCTGAGCAGGTGCTGTCCCCACCACACCCCGTCCCGCTCTGGCCCTGTTGGGGTGGTAGGCACCGGGGCACGTCTGCACCTCTCCCCAAGGCTCTGCTCCAGCTCCCAGGCCTGTCTTGGGTCCCCTTCCCACCTCAGCTGTCCTCTATGGGACAGACCCCGTCGGGAATGCCCACTCAGCGCCCAGGCGACCCTCCAGGTGAACCCCGAGCAGCCCACAGCCAGCGGTCGGTCCTTTGCTCGGATGCTCAGCCTCTGGGAGTGCACAGTGAGCTCACAGACCCAGTGTGGTGGTCCCACCGGACCTGTTGACCCCCACCCTGCTGATGGGGCGCACATGCCTTCAGGCTGGCTTACCTGTGACTACACCCTTTGTCCCCAGACCTCTGCCTACGGGACTACTCTGTTGGCCCCAAGGGCTGAGCTTTGCACTGACTCCTGCTGGTCTGGACGGGTGCTGAGATGCTTGTGTCCTGCCCACCCTGGCCGGGTGCCAGCTCGGCACCTGGCAGGAAGCACACACAGACACAGCCACGGGCTGCCAGACAGGGCTAATGCTTTTATATTAGTTTTTCTGTAGAAAAAAAAAAATCAGCTTTGAGGTTTTCATCACTTTTTTCTTAAAAAAAAAAAAAAAAAAAAGGTACCCAGCACTCCCTGCGGGCCCGAAGAGTAAAAGTGGTGTCTCCTGGGTGGGGCCGGCCCTTCCTCACTCAGCCCAGCGCCAGGACCTCCACACACTCCTGCCCATGGCCCGTGGCAGGCCCAGGAGGACTGTCCTCTGGCCTTGCCCATCCAAGATATGCCTGTGGCTGGCCAGGGAATGGCAGGGAGTGACTCCCCCAGCAGCTGGGGGCCGGGCGGGTGGGGCCGGGGCAGCAGTCCTGAAGGTTCCCATCCCCAGAGGGAGGGAGAAGGGACAAAAGCCAGCTTTTGTGAGTTCCACGGGGTAGTAGGCACCTGGCCGCAGAGAGCTCGGACATAACTCTGTGTCTTCTCCAGAGGACGGACAGACTGACGAACAGGCAGGCGACAAGATGTTCTGGCCACTTCTGGCTGGGGCAAGAGCTGTTGTGGCATAGGCCAAGGAGGGCCGTTTGCATGTGACTATGTGTGTGTGTGTGTGTGTGTGTGTGTGCGCGCGCGCATGCGTGTGTGTGGAGTAGGAAGTGTGCGCCCATGCACACCAGGGTGGGGTCAGGCCCTTCCCTGAACCTCTGTGATTCAGAGGGAGTGATGGGGGGTGGGGGTGGGGAGGGTAGAGTTTGGAGGGCAACGTGCAGCGGGCTGTGTGTAGATGGGTCATGGTATCTGCAAGTGTCTGGCTGTGGCACAAACTGCAGGAAGGGGTGGGGACGGGAGACTGTGTGTTCAGCTTGTGTTGGGGGGCATGGGGGTGTAATGCTGGATGTGTCGAGGGGGGGGCAGAGTGGAGGCTCACAGGGCACAGGCACGTGCTGCAGAAAGGGGTCCGACGTCCATCGTCCTGCAGAACATGTGGGAGAGTCAGGGAAGCCAGAGCAGACCCGCCAGCCACAACCTGCCTGAGGGAGCCCCTTGATCAGAGCTGGGGAGCCCCCTTGACAGTGCTCTGGGGGGACCAGGTCACTGCGGGCAGGAGGGGAAGCTTCCCCTGGGAGTTCAGAGCCACTGGGAGGTGCTCATGCTGATGTGGCCGGGCCTGCTGTGAACTAGAGGGCCTTTGGGTCCCACTGGACTCCTGGGGCCTCACCCAGGACTCTGCTCCACTGACCTGCCCATGGCCAAGAAGGGGCAGATTCTCGCCCATCCCCGGACTCCCCAGGCCTCTCATGAGGTCCATGGCAACAGTCACCCCTGTTGCCGACCCCTCACTCTGCCTGAGGATAATGCCTGGAGAGAAGGGGCTCCACCTTCATAGCCCTGGGCCCCTCAAGTAGAAGATGACTCTTGAGCACTGCACTTGGCCTGCCCTCCACGCTCACACCACCGCCCCTACGCACACTCCTCTCCCCACCTGTCATCCGCCCTGGGGTCCTCACACCCCTCAGGCTCCTTTCTGCCCCCGGCCCTACTTCAATTCAACTTCCTAAGAGTGTCTCCGTGGCTTCCCAGAACCATACCCTGGCCCTGACACCCAGCTTGGCTCACCCCGATATCGCTCTAACCAAACCTCTCCACTGGCTACTCACCAACATCCTCCCTGCCCTGTCCAACACCCACTCCAGCAGTCTGCCTGCCAACCCCTCCTGTCTGCACCTCCTTCCCTCCCAGCCTAACCCCAGGATCCACCACTGCAGACAGTGTCTTGCCAATGCACTCAATTTCCTTGTTCCTTGCCCTCCTGTCCCACGCACCTGGTCCAAAACCCAGCCATGGATGGATCCAATTATCCATCTTCACTCACACCCACCCCCGTCTACTGAGCACCCACTG